AGTCTAAGGGTTCAGTTGTAATTAAGTCAGATGATGGAGAGGGGAAAAATATGCCTGAAACTCTTCAGAATGAGAAGCCAGCTACTGATAAGTAAGTGGTACCATACTACTGAATAGTTATGTTGCCTTCTAGCTTTTCGGAATTTAAGAAGATGCTATGTTGAATCGAAAGCATAAAATGAACAGTTTTGCTGTGTATGATATAAGTAGATCGATATCCAATGTTGGTTATACACGTAAATTAGTCGCCGCTGCAAATAATTGGTCAAGAGTGCTTACTGGGTGGTTCTAATCTTTTCAAAGTGAAAAGGGTACTCCTATTATTCAGAAGATAGACATTTTATAGACAGTTGGTTAATCTTCATCCATTAGAAAGTTGATATGATTGTTAAATGCACTTCTTTCCTCATTGGTATTACGGATTTATGATGGTGACCTGAAGCTCCCTGTTTTAAAACCTCAATTAACATATCATGTCTCGCATATGACAGGGGGATCAAATCATCAAGTGATGCATTACCCTCTCAGAATGGTGATGCAACTCTATCAAAGAAAAAAAGGAAAAGGGATAGGAGAGAGGAAACTACAGATGTCCAGAAAAATCTATCTGAATGTCCCGAAAGGAAGAAACAAGCTATCGACAAGTGAGTCATACATTACTATTCAGAGTTTCAATTGAAAATATGGTAAAAATTATTATGATAGTCTGAAATTCCAAGGTAGATCAACTTTCAGTTCCCGGGAGAAGCTTCTGCTAAAGTTGTCTCTTTTGGTTTTTCTTTTGGGTTTGAGTGGATACTCTCTTGAGATTTATTGGTGTTCAGGTTATAAACTAGTCCTAAATTTTGTACCCTTATAATGAATAGGAACATTGAGAGAGAAACTGGTACTAAGAAACCACTAGAGTCGGAGATTTCATCAAATGGAGTGATAATTGAAGAGGTTGAAAAAGGAAAGTTAGATGGAAAAGCAGCTGTTAAAGGGAAAAAGGTGAGTATTTTGACATCTTTATCTACTTCTACGTCGTGTGAAATCTCGATGCTGTATCAATTACCAGCACCATTAGGCCGGAATTATATAAAACGATTGATGGTTGTTTCAGGTCAGTATACGCTATACTGGGAAGTTGAAAGACACCGGCAAAGTGTTTGATTCAAACTTGGAAGAAGCTCCATTAAAATTCCGCTTGGGTAAAGATTTAATAGATATTTTCATTATCATTGTTGTTTCTCCCATCCTCAAACACAATCAGCCTTGTTTACTTTCTAATATGAATTAAAATGCTGTTTGCAGGTGGAGGAAAGGTCATAGAAGGTCTCAGCATTGGTGTTGAAGGTATAGTGCCTTAACCAATAGATAATTTCAACTGAAAATTTGTAAATTTTGATGTCATTTAAAGAATTTGGCCGCATCTCTAATTCTCAGGGATGCGAGCTGGAGATAAGAGAAGACTCACAATTCCGCCATCCCTCGGGTATGTTAACATGGTTTCAGCTGAGCATGTCTAGATGGTCATCTCAGCATAGTATTATTATAACTAACTGAGTTTATACATCCTGGTTTGTTTCTCTTTGGATGTGATAAACACAGATTCTCAGAAGAGGGATTGAAAGAAGGTATGCCTAAGAATGCGTGGCTAGTCTATGAAGTGGAAGCTGTAAAAATCAAGTGATGATTGGCTTTTGACCTCTTGGTACATGCCTAGGTTTTTGTTCTCAGCCATCTACTTGTCTTTCATGGAGAAATTAATTGGCTCCTGAGGCCTGCCTCCTGTTTTGTTTTTTTTTTGGTTTTCTTGAATCTTACAAACTCAAAAACTCTCCTGATTATTCAGTCAACGCCTTAAAGGTCTATTGATGAGTGCAGTTTGGGTTATCAAGATGGTTAAGATTGAATCATCACTTAAGAGTTCTTTAAAACATTGCTCTTATTCATATTGAGAACCAAGTCTTAGACCATCAGGCATTGTCACACACTAATTCTGTAGAGAAGCATATTGCAGGAATTAAAAAAAAAAGGACCAGATTCTTTTGAGACAGATCAAAACTGAAGTTTGCAACAGTAAGTCATCTATATATACACACATATACACACAGTAACAAAAGGCTTGAGAAGAAGATGATGAGGTGACAATGGCTGATCTTGATCCAGCAGAAGCTCTACTGTACTCTTTCTGATAGAGGAAAGTTGCTTATGTTGGATTCCATCTTGTTGAATGTGAGGTTTGCAATGGCTCTATCGATTGAGTTTGTTTCCGATTCTATCTCTTCCTCTCTACTCAACCTGCAATCAAATAACTGTCACTTTGATCCGTCTTCTTATAAGGAATCTATAGATCAGAAGGATATAAAGATTTTACTTCTAGTGTGGATGAGAGAGAAAAAGAAAGAAGACATGATCTTTACCTGGTTGCATCACCATAATCATATCTGGACGCTTGCATATGGAACTCTTCCGAATCCAACTTGTCGTATGAGTTCCTAGCGAGCCGGTAAAACGTATCCCGGAAACATTTACGTGTCTCATCGGTTAACTAGAAAGAAAGAAACACCCTGTGAGTTTTCAATTGCAAGCAAGTCCCTTGGGTCAAATTTAAGGTTACAGTCAAATCGTGGTAACTGACCTTTCCTGAAGCCCTTTGTAGATCCTGCAACACGACTTCTTCAGAAGACAGTTCATCAAACATGTTGTCTTCTCCAGACAGATCCGAGATTGTATATGGAGCCTCTCCCTTCAACCATTAAAAAAGAAAACTATTAGGTAATCTTTAAACAAAGAATAAACCACCATAGATCAGCTCCAGTTTGATAACTGTAATACTATGTAAAAGACGTAAAACAGACCAATCTCTTACCTTTAAAGGCATAACATGACATTGGAACATGGGAACTTCCCTGCCTCCACCGTACATAGAGGAAGAACCGACACTGTTATTGCTGCTTGAAGTACGATGAACATCTTCACTATTCCCTGGAACATCCTCCAAAATGGAACTTCTTCAGTAAAACCGGAAACAC